CTGTTCCTCCACAAATTGACTGTCGGAGATGTTGATTCCTCTATGCTTTTAGGTAGTTTTCATTTTTCTGTTCCTACCAGGCCAACAAGGAACTTTCTGCCTCTTCTCCTTATCAGATGCACTACCAATTCGGCCATGCACAATCCTTTTCGAGTATTATGCTCTAATTATAATACTTGTTACTTTCTGATCTCATAAGAGCTCTCTCTCCCCTCACTAAAATCTTCTATTTTCAGCTACCTCCGGCAAATTCTTTGCTGTCAGTAGGGGCTTAGCTTGCCGGTCTGGCTAATCAATTTTCCCCCAACGTGTTAGTGCTTCTTTACCTTTAGCTTTTAATTATAATTTATCTCGTATTATTAAATTTTAATATGTTTTCTTTTATTGCTATTACTTCATCTCCACTTCTGTTTTGTTAGGTCTAATAACGAATCTGAGTACTCTCTGCTGTGAATCGATGCATATTCGTTATTAGATATTGTGTCAAGGAACGTTTTCCTTGCCAACATGAAACTTCGGGTCCGGGCGGTGTGCGAATTAGTTTGAAAATAAATCAAAATGCAATTGACACATAACCAAATGATACGGGAGAGACTGTCGTTCTTCTTCAAGAGTTGATTACAAACTGTTTATTGGTATTTTCGTATTGATGCATTAGAGTTCAAGTGTAGTGAACTCAAATATAAGAATGTATGAAGTATAAAATAACAAAGAGAGAAGTAATATTGAGAGTGAGTCACCGACCAAGAAATGTCGGGCAGTCAGCGCGCTGTAATCGTTTGGATCTGATGACAGCGGCGACAGAGGGCGCGAGTTGAAGATGGCTTCGATTTCCACAACGACAGTACTTAGCTCTTCGAATGTGAACCTCATATGTGCCAATGTGCGCAGCTTCCCAAAGCCCGCCAAAATTGGGTGCCCTGGGTGGAATAAAGTGGAAGTTAATAAAGTCTGATGAACAAAGTTGTTGAATTTCCGTTTGAGTCTCCTTCTTAAACATGAATTTCTTAAATTCATGTAACTGGTTAGAAGCTCCGACAAAATTAGTAGCGTTGTCGCAAAATATATCTATTGGCAATTTGCGTCGTCCTCCCATTCGTTTCAGGGCATTCAAAAACGGCTTAGTTGACAATTCGGAGACTACTTCGATGTGCACAGCCTTTATGAGGAGGCAGCCGAACATCGCTATATATGATTTGGTAGGACCCTTTCCTCGAATTCAAACATATGACAGGTCCACAAAAATTGATCCCACATCGTTCAAATGGGAAACTAAGCGTGAGACGTGTCGGTGGCAGCGATCCCATAATTTGCTGTAATAATTTGGGCCTATAGCGAACGCAATGGAGGCAGGAACGGACGATGCGCCGAGCCAAGTCTCTAGCGTTGACAATACAGTACTCCAAGCGAATTAGAGCGACTAATGCCTTAGGGCCAGCATGAAAATTCTGAAGATGCAGATGACGAACATAGTTCCGAACGAAAGGCGAACTACTGGGCAGCAGCAATGGATGCTTTTGTCTGTCTGGTAGCTCCGAATAGTCCAGTCGCCCACCAACCTTGATCAGCTCAAAGCTACTCGACGAATCTAAACAAGTAAAATAGCTAAAGTCGGGCGTCCCGACTTTGAAATACTCTGATATGTACAGTTTACAATAATTATAGAAAAAAAAATGAGAACATTAAAAAACAAAAAATTTTATCGATTTTACCTTTCTCGGTATTTGAACTCACGTAAAGGGTATATAATTGCATATTTACATAGCAATTGCGTCTGTGTGAGTGTATGTATGCCTATGCGCATCTATTCGTGTCTGTGTAAACATGTTGACTGCTTGACTGCTAACCAAACAGCAACATCAACAACAGCTGCGGGCAGCGCTTGTGCAAAATTTGGTGTCTCTATCTCTTATAGTCTCTGAGATCCAGGTGTTCATACGGACGGTCTCGTCATGCTGATCAAGAATATATATACTTTGTGGGGTCTGCCACGCCTCCTTCTGCATGTTACATTTTTCAGCTCCCGCAAAAAACAACTTGAAATTTCTCACTCCTTTTTATACTCTGTACATGAAATGTACAGAGTTTGTTGAACGTTCCAAATCATGCAGTTCGAAGCGAATCAAGTTCTTCCGGGGAGAGTACAATTGTCGATGCTATTGATTGCTTTCTGCATTTCTTTGGGAATCTGATCATCCAAGCGTTGAGACTAATAGTGCTGATCTCCAGTATGTAGTTTGTGTCCCTTATCGCGGTAAACACAGTTTTGCGCTTCTCCAAGTTGACAATATCTATGTCGAGATAAAATGATTTCCTTTTGGTTGGCCATTGTGACGGAGCTTCGTTGATGAGCTGCTCGCGTAATAATGCGGGACCTGTAAATGGATGGATTTTTTACTGTCCCAGTCGAGTTTCACAAGCCATAACTCCTGCAGGATGATGTTTGATATTACGACGAGTGGGGACAATAAGCCGATCGGAACGAAAAGCGATGATGCGGTAGCTAAAATTATCCGTTTTTTGGCAGTGGTGTACATTTCCTTGGGCGTGAATGTAAAACTGAACGCATCATTTTGCTGATGCCAGGTTACTCCAAGTGTACTACTCACGAAGTTTTCGGAGATGGTTATCTCTTTAGTAGTTTGGTCTCGCACAAGTTCTCGAAGACTTGAGTGCCATTGGCATAGGGGAAAATGAACACGACTGAGTATTTCAGTAATCTCCCGTTTCAGTGTTTGCACGGCATCGATATCATCTGCTCCACATTGCAGATCATCCACGTAAAAAGACTACTTGACAGCAGCAGCTCCGACAAGTAACTCCTTTTTACATTCGTCCGCCAGATACTGCAAACTACGTGTTGCGAGATATGGCGCTGACGCCGTCCCATACGTAACTGTGTTGAGTTTGTAAATCCTCATCTGGAGAGGATATACTGAAATTTTCATCATCATCATTTTTGTTAACGAGTACTTGCATGTACATTTGTGTAACATCAGCTGTGATTGCGATTGTAGAGCTCATCTTGAATGGTAGGGACGATCAAAAGCAAGTCATTAAGCGATTTTTGAGACGTTTTGCGATATGATGCATCAAATACGACTTTGAGCAGCGACGGTGGTTTGGGTGAAGCTCTTAAATCGGGCGTTCGATCGACTCAATTTTCCATAAGTGTTGCAAGTGTTTATCAATCGAGTCCTCAACTGTGGCCAAGCATAATGGTGGTTGATGGCTACAGTTGATGCAAAGTCCGCTGCGTCTGCTGTCAAACGAAGGCAGCAGAAAACCGAACGAGAGCGAAGTAGTTTCGTACTTCTAACAACAACCAATGCAGTAACCAAACAGTCCGAGTGACAATGAGCGAAGGCAGCTGCGAAGAGAACAAGAATGAAGTAACGGTGTACTTCCAACAGCGAGTAATGCAGTCCGAGAACTAATGTGTATGCTTGTGGACGAAAGCAGCAGCAAGGCGAATCAAGGCGAAGTCGTACTTCCAACAACTCGGACTACAGTCAGCAAAAATGATCGAAATGACGGCGGGCGAAGTCCACAGCAAGGGGAATAGGAGCGAAGTAACGGCGTACTTCCAACAACGATGAGTGATGTATGTATGTATATGCCGGCAATTAGCTGTGTGCGTGTGTACAGCAACTGCAGCGAGATCGAAGCGACGTAAAATGCGAAAAACGCGTCTAGTCAATGCGAAGCTGAAGGCAAGAAAATCTTTATTTGACAATGTACACTACAAAATTTCAATTTTTCCGCAGCAAAATTCACACACAAGCCCCACGTTGGGCGCCAAAATGTTGTGTCAAGGAGCGTTTTCCTTGCCAACATGAAACTTCAGGTCTGGGCGGTGTGCGAATTAGTTTTAAAATAAATCAAAATGCAATTGACACATAACCAAATGATACGCGAGGCAGTCGTTCTTCTTCAAGAGTTGATTACAAACTGTTTATTGGTATTTTCGTACAGATGCATATGAGTTCAAGTTACAGTGTGGTGAATTCAAATATAAGAATGTATGAAGTATAAAATAACAAAGAGAGAAGTGATATTTGCAGTTGCGAGGGTTAAATCATTTATTTAGTTCTATTTAGTTTAAGATCTATAGTGTATTGATTTTTATAGCCCAAAGTACCCAAAGGGTAAAAGGCTATACTAGTTTTGTGCGAATGTATGTAACACACAGAAGGAGGCGTGGCAGACCCCACAAAGTATATGTATTATTGATTAGGATGACAAGTCGAGTCCATATAGCTATGTCCGACCGTCCGTCCGTCTGTCTGTTTGAGCGCAACGATCTCAGCAAGTACAATAGCTAGGATAACCAAACTTGGATTTCAGGTTTTCCCTAATCCCTAGACAGATCGAGTTTGTGTTTTCTTTCTGATACACTCCCCCGCCATTCATGTTTTTCCATAACTCCCGTAATGAGTCCGTATGCCAAGATTCACTACGATAGGTTGATTAAATTATATCTATAAATATATTCTATGCAGAGGCTCTGCTCGCAGCTGTTGTTGTTGTTGCTGCTTTGACATAATTGTGTACTGCGTGCATACATTCATATAAACACGCATGACACGATACTTGTATGCTGTTGAAACTTTACATAAACATGTCTTCACTTTTGTATGTATGTAAATAAATTGTATTTAATTTAATTAATTAATTAAATTTTTTTAATAATTTTTTTTTAGTTGTCTGTTTTTGTGGAGTGTAGAGAATATTTTTTAGTGTTGGGCCTGCTAAACTGTAGCGTTCTCTCTTGTTTTTACTGCACACTTAAATTATTATACACATACATATGTACAGAGTATTTCAAAGTCGGGACACCGACTTTAGTTTCTTTGCTTTTTTTTCAGCGGTTACGTGAAATATTTTATTTTCTATATTAATTTTGGTGTTATTATTACAATAACTTTTGTTAAAGTGTTCGGCACAAATGAAATGAAATCAGACAAATAAATTAAATTTGCGCAAAAAAAGCACGTGGATCACACTCAACAAACTTTAAAGTTTTTTATATATTTTTTTTTAAATTCCATTTACAAATTTCTAAAAATATTACATATTTATACATGGTATTTGCATCTACATCGCGTTCCTTTGTTGTCTTGGCATTTTCCTTTCAGGAAGAAACTCACAAACCATAACAACATAATTAAAATTAAGGTTTTTCGGCATTAGAATACTTGCAATTGGTTCATATTGAAGTTGAGCTCTTTTAAAATTTCCAGGACAGTAGAATTAAATCCATCAGGCCCACATATAGCAACGTAGGTAAAAGTTGATGTAGTCGTATTTTTAATCAAAGGTTTAAATTGTTCCATATTGGCATAAGAATGTATATTTAAGAGACAAAAGCGTTCATCGTCGACTTCCACCATCCTTAATTTGTCGTGTACCCAAATATCCAACGGCGTTTTATTAAAATACATTAAAAGCAGGCGTTCGCTGTAAATGTAATAATAAATAAATAAGTAAAGATATTGTGATGATATAAGAAAAATAAGAAAATGATTGCGCTTGCTTCGGAGCGAAAGATTATACATATAAGCTTGAACATGCACTTCCCCTTTTAAACCCCAATTTAAATATATGCACCCAAATTTCCCTGTTTGTACACAGAAGTAAATATCTTTATTTCAGTGAATTAGTTTTCGGTGTTGACGTACCCACACATTCTTTTTATTATTATTTTATCCAGAACCGTGCACGCGAATTTGTCTTAAGGATGGGCATTGTTAGGTTGGTTTTGTGTATATTGGGAATGAAGTTTTTTAATATGTTTTTGAAGTGATCTAAAAATCTCTGTTTGGGTAAGAACGAAACAGGCAGAAGGAGGCGTAGCAGAGCCTACAAAAAATGTATATTCTTTTCAGCATGTCAGAAGGAAATGTCCGTTTAGATGAACACCTGGATTAAGGAAACGAGTGAGCCTAATTAGACACGATAACGATGTAAATGTATGTACATATGTATGTATAAATTGAATATTTCCCATTTTATTTAGTTAATTGCGCGCGCTAAGCTAGTATACCCTTTTAGCTATTGGGTAGAGGGTATAAGCCCGAAAAATCACACAATAAATCAACTTTATGACCAACCGGAAAATATTACTTACCCTCAACAAAAACAATAAAACAAACTTGCACAGCGTACACACATAAGGCATCTATGTGCAAAATTTGGTGTCACTATCTCTTAAAATCTCTGAGATCTAGGAGATCATGCGGACAGACAGACAGACAGGGTTAGATCGACTCGTCTCGTCATGCTGATCAAGAATGTAGCGTGACTTGTAGCCTGTACGTTAAATTTAATTATTTTTAAAATTTAATGACTCGCCATCTGTTGGTCAAGCTAAACAGTAGCCTTTAACAGGTACAAGGTGAAAGTGGAATAGCAGCAGCAAACGTCAACAAATTGGCGCCTTTCACTGACGCTATGTTAAAAGCTTTCGTTCGCGCCAGCGGTAGTACGTTCGCTTTTTTTATTCCGAACGTCAATCAAGCCAGAAGTGTATGAAGTGTTTAGTTTAACTAGTCGAAATAAAAAATAAAAAAAAAAAGTCAAATTTTCTTCCGCTGGCAAGAAAGCAAATGCTTGTGCCTTTTGTGGGAAAAAAGATAAAGTTCACAAATTAAATTCAAAAGAGTGTAATTGTTCTGTTTAACCGCTTTGAAGGGTACAACCATCAAAGCCGCTAAAATATTTGCGGAAGAAGTATCAGACCACGGGCCTTGATCAGCTGTCTGCAACAACAAACCTTGCCTGGGGCTTCCACTCGGTCGGCCGCAGTGCCTAGAGGGAGAATAAACGGCAGAAAAAAAGAAGAGAGCAACTTCCAGGCTAGCTTTCCCGTCCACTCAACACCCGGCATCTTCTACATTAATTTGGGAGTGTAGAAAAGGCGGCTATAGCGACCAACCGTCGGCGGGGGCGCGACCTTTTTTTAAATCGGCGACCAATCATTTAAATAAGTATCGGAACTCGCCCGGAGGTGTTACCCATTTTTTTTTCTTAATTTTTTTGTTGTTGGTGTCGGTTTAGTGCCCGAAAAAAAAAGTAAAAATCCCGAGTAAATTCGGGTTAGATTGCAGTGGCGCGCAAGCGCCGAAGAAGCCGTATGCCGGCGTATTAGTATTTATAAGGTTAGGCTAGTTTTTTTTATATGTTAATTTGTGCAACTCGGTGGCAAAATTTTATTTGATGTGCTCTTAATTTTTAATTGTTAAGACACTGTTTTATTTTTGCATTTTTTTCTTGTTGCCTTATTCCGTAATTCGGAAGGCACCAATTTTTTTTAGTGAGAGCGATTATTGGTTCTCTCTCGCGCTTGTGCGCTTTACTTTGCTTCCCGCGGGTTTTTTTTTTTGTTTGCGCGCTCTTATTCCAGCGCGGTGTCTTTTTTTACAGCTACGCTCGTTCCAGACGGAAAGCGCTTTCTGCGTGGGATCAGCAGCCCAGCCGTAAGTAGACAGCTGTTTATTTATTCTTTTATTTGCATTTTATTTCAAAAAATGGGTCATTGGAAGCGCAATACTCACTAAAGAAAGTTTATTTTTTTTCTTTACGCCACTGAACGGCTATTTAATGATTTTTTTTCTTTTAGCAATATTTATTTATATTTTAAAAGGTTCAATTTTTAGATATTGTAATTTTTTTTTTCTCTTTTATTATTTTTCGATTTATTGAATTTGTTAGTAATAGTATCGATGAACAATTTGTTTTATGTTTTCCTTTAACACTCTCATTTTTATTCCCATTTAAATAAATTATAATGTGTTACTAATTTATCATTTTTTTGATTTCACGCCAAACCCAATGCCTTCGTAAGTTTTTTTATTTCCAGCAAAGGGGTCATTGTTAATATTCTTTTTTTTTGTTCTGTGTGTGGCTTTTAGTAATGACCAAGGTAGGGAGGGCGTATTCAGACTCGCCAACATCTGAGTTCTGATCATGTGTGTGCAGTTTAGTGTAGGTGCAAGTCCGTCCGAAGTCAGTTTAAGTGTTTCTCTTCCGGTTTTGTTTTCTCGTCTTATGCACGCTTATTTAAAATAAATAATAAGCATGAGACATACATGACGTAGGAGGTAAAGAACACCACCCAATTGCCGACGAGCCAGAGCCGGAACTCTAAGCGTGCCGCTCCTACTCATGTCGACCACCTAGTCCCAAATTCCTTCTGTAACCGTTACAGATATTATTATTATTATTATTATTATTATGATGGCTGGTGATGGCCTCACTTAGTTTGGAGCTATTAGTAAAATTCGTTTATTAATTTTTCCATCTAACTTAGTGTGACTCACAAAACTTAAAACATGACTTCACTTCTTTTCTCAATCCTAATTTCTTTTTTTTAATCTTCGTTTTACTGTTTAGTAAAACAACATATACTATGTATTTTCTTTCTACAATTTAGTCATACTAAAATGAATTAAGACATAGGATGCAGCGACGAATTTTTAGAAATTGTCATCTGACCACGGCTCATTGTGGCTTAAACTCGTCTTAACTTTAAACCTGACTTAACTTTTTTTTCTCAGTTCAATTTTTTTTTTCTAATTTTTAGTTTTTGTCTTCTTGTTTAGTAAAACAAAATCTAAGAGGCTTACTTATATTTTTTCAAACTTTAGTCCCAGCAAATCGAATCCAGGCGCATAGGATTGCAGCGATGAATTTTTAGAAATTGTCGTCTGACCACGGCTGATGCGTTTTGATGTGACTTAAACTTGTCTTTTAATTACCAACCTGGCAAACAAACGCATAGGATTACAGTATGAATAGCTTTTAGAAGTAATCAGCTGTCCACGGTGGTTTGCAAAGTTGAAATCTTAATTTTCCTCTCCATGATTAGATGTAATTAGCTTATGAGGCGCATAGGACTGCAGATAGGGCAGATTTTTTTTTATCTCCTACTGACCACGTGTAATAAGCTAATATAAATCGTTCAAAACCATAAGCAGTTACGGCTGTTCACTTACGGCTGTGTAATGTCTACATTCTTTCATCTATACATACTTACATATGGCACACACTAGGAAATAAACCTTGTTAAGGCTAGGGTGAAGCGTGAAATCAAATTATATATTTATGTACCTTGTTTAAAAATTGCGAAGAAATTATTTGAAATTAATTTAATTATTTACTGTTCTTATAAAGTGTTCAATGCTTACACTTTTGAAAGTTACTGAATTAATAAAAAGGGGTGTTTTAAATTTCTTGTCGACCGAAACAGTAGGTCAAATCGCATAAACTTTATTGATATTTTTTTGTCTAAAATTGTTGCGGTTTGGTACAATTTATTCAATTACTAATAGCTAAAACCAACCGCTTATAAACATTTACGAAAAGCTAATTAATATACTTATTTTTATTTCTAAAATTATTTATACATTCGTATTATTACTTTTGTTTAATCTTCTGCACATTTTGTTGTTTTGCGTTTTCAATTCAGCTGCCTTATTATTGGGAGGGATTGAGCGTAAATTTTTTTTGTGTCAACGTAAACATTCTCTGCTATTAATCTAAAGTTAAAAAAAAGTACAAACAAAATGGGGCTAAATCGATCAGAAGAGCAAACCGCACAGAATTTAAATTGTGTTTTGTGTAATGCGGAAATTTTACCAAGCGACGGTTGTAAAACTAAATGTGGACATACATTTCATAAACTTTGCATAAAGACACATTTTCGTAGCGACAATACATGTCCGGCTTGCAAAGCCATTTGTCTAGATCCTCCAGGCCCCTCAACACGTCAACAAACTCGAAATCAAACTAAAGCAACTGAAATTACTGCAATCCAACCGGAAATCCCCAGACCATCTAGTGTAGCTTCAAATTCTGATACAAATCGAGAAGGTTATCCATCTGGCATTAATATGGAACTAAGTTCTTTTATTAGCAATTCCCTACAAGTTATGCAAAATGACTTGCTTCTTCAATTGACCGAAAGGTTGGCAGCGGCAGTTGAAACTAGTGTTTCCACACATTTGAGTCGACACAACAGTGTTACTCAGCAATCACGCTCGCAAAATAGTTCACGTTCGCCTGATCAGTTATTGAGATTGGCCCCAGGTATGCATGGCCCTCAGAAAGCAATTTCGAGACACGCGCTCTGATGTGGGCATTAGAGAACTCATTCGCAATAGAAAGCAAAAAGAAAAAGAGAACTTTGATGGTTTTTATGACGCAGTAGTCCAGTTAGTTGACCGTTTGGAACAGGCTTTGGACGAAACCACATTAGTTGAAATTTTAAGGCGCAATCTACGGCCAGAGGTACAACACGAAATCCTTAATATAGAAACCAGGTCAGTTTCTAAGTTGAGGGAAGTTTGTCGAAAGCGAGAATGTTTCTTGGACGAAGCCAGACGTGTACATGGGTATCAAAAATCCACTCCATTTAAAAGAAATGTGGCTGAGGTATTTGAAGAGAATAATTCTGATAT